GACATGAGGGACAGGAAAGTGTGTACTGGAAAGGGCCTGGGGCCTGACCCCACCACCTACCCTCATCTGTCAACTAGGGTTACAATGCCTCCCGCAGATGTGGCTGTTAAGAGTTATTTTGGTGAAGACCATCAGCTGCAAGTGACAGAAGCTCAACTCAAACCAAGGGAAGCGAATGAAGCTAATTTGTAGCTGGTTTCTCAGTGCTAGGGCAGAGCTGGAAGCGCCTTGCAGGAGTGGAGCACAGGCTGGCAGAGCCAAGGGCTTTGGTACTGGAAGTGGCCCTGTGACTTCCAGGCTGTGTCTGCAGGCCCTTTTGTCTTCCTGCCTTTCAGCAGCAGCCAGGCTCCCTCTGTGGGGGAGGGGGCAGAGAATACAGGGCAGCAGGTGGGGGGGCACCTTTCCCACCCAGGGGACCATGGCAGGGACAGCTGCTCTTCCCAGACTCCCCGTAGCCTTTCCAGGGAAGGACCCGACTGGCGCTGCCCGGATCCCATGTCCAGACCTGGCGTCAGTCACTGTCACCAAAGGCTGGGCTTCCCTAAAAGGACTGGGTCCAGGCACAGCCCTCAGCAGGGGCACAGCCTGTCACAAGAAGAAGGGAATGGAAGCATTACCTGGGGAGTGAACACAAGAACAAAACAAAGTAAAACAAGGGCCAACCACAGAAAACTAACACACTGGCTGCAGGACTCCCTGCGCTAGGGCATGTGACACCTGGAAGAGGCCCTGGCACGCAGTAGGTCTCAACAATGCAGGCCGGCATTGTGATGGAAAACTAGCAAATGGGATTCTCTTCCTCCCAGCCATCACTGCCACCACCGTCACCACCACCACCACTCAGCAGCAGTAAATCGTCCTCAAAAATGCTTTAAACATTAGTCACGTTTTCTGACCCAACTTTTGAGAAACAGCATTTTGGCCAAGAGTGTGTACTGCACACTCCAGGGGCTTCTGCTCACAGATGTGAAGTTTGGAGCTGCCCACCGTGCAGCACACAGTGGGGCAGCGCCCAGGGGCCAGCGCACAGTGGGGTAGCACATGGGGGCCAGCACACAGTGGGGCAGTGCACAGTGGCCAGTACACAGTGGGGCAGCACATGGGGGCCAGTGCACAGTGGCCAGTGCACAGTGGGGCAGTGCACAGGGGCCAGTGCACAGTGGCAAGTGCACAGTCGGGCAGTGCACAGGGGCCAGTGCACAGTGGGGCAGCACATGGGGGGCCAGTGTACAGTGGGGCAGCGCCCAGGGGCCAGCGCACAGTGGGGCAGCACATGGGGGCCAGCACACAGTGGGGCAGTGCACAGTGGCCAGTACACAGTGGGGCAGCACATGGGGGCCAGTGCACAGTGGCCAGTGCACAGAGGGGCAGTGCACAGGGGCCAGTGCACAGTGGGGCAGTGCACGGTCGGGCAGTGCACAGGGGCCATTGCACAGTGGGGCAGCACATGGGGGGCCAGTGTACGGTGGGGCAGCGCACAGGGGCCAGCGCACAGTGGGGCAGTGCACAGTGGCCAGCACACAGTGGCCAGTGAACAGTGGGGCAGTGCACAGGGGCCAGTGCACAGTGGGGCAGCGCACAGTGGGGCAGCCCATAGGGGTGGAGGAGCCCACAGCGTGGGAGCACAGGGTCAGGTGGTGGGCTTCTCAGATTAGTGACAGGACTGCAGGTCAGCCACAAGGTGGGTAGAGGGGCTTCTCCCTGGGGGCACAGGCCAACCTCCAATTTGCTTCTCTGTAGGGCGTCTGGCTTTGCTTGTGTTGCAGTTCCCTTTCATTTGGAAACTTCCCTTTAGAGGACGTGTTTCCAGGTCACAGCGCCTAAGGGGAAGTAGTTAAATCCAGTACACAGCTGTTACCGGAAACCAGCAAGGTAAGGGGCGAGGCTTGGATCTCATCATGGAAGACCTCCAGAGGCCCTTCCTCATTTGCCCGCTCATTTGGCAGCTGGGGCCGCTGAGACCGTGGTGGACAGAGTGGACCCCTGCCCCATGCAGCTGATCCTTCACTGAGGAGGCCTCCAGACACCAGCTGCTGGGAGGAGCATCCACAGTGATGCTCTCCACCATGGTGAAGAGTGGCAGGCGTAGGGAGGGCTGGGCTATGGGCACGGCCTGGGGGAAGGTGCCCATCAGACACCCCAGATGCAAAATCCTCCAGCACAGAGGTGGCATCTACTCTTCCCTGAGCCCAGAAGACCCACCAGCTCCCAGGGATGCGCAGAAACAAGGGCCTGGAAGACACACCCTAGGGTCCATGCTGCCCAGCAGGGGCAGGTGCTGTCATAACCAGGAAGCCTGTTCTCATCTCACTCCATCCAAATGCACTTTTTCAAATCCAAGACACACAAAGATGCTTTTTTTCTTTTCTTTTCTTTTTTTTTTTTTTTTTAGAGAATGATTGATGTTTAAAAATTTTTTTTTTTTTTTTTTTAGAGACAGAGTCTCACTCTGTTACCCAGGCTGGAGTACAATGGCATGGTCTCAGCTCACTGCAACCTCTGCCTCCCAGGTTCAAGCAATTCTCCTGCCTTTTCTGCCTCAGCCTCCCGAATAGCTGGGACTGCAGGTATGTGCCACCAAACCCGGCTAAGTTTTGTAATTTTAGTAGACAGGGTTTCACTATGTTGGCCAGGCTGGTCTCAAACTCCTGACCTTGACACACGAAGACGCTTTAAGAAAAAAAGTTTTCTGTTAAGCAAGTTGTTTAAGAGCTGGGCAAAACGACAGGTTTCAATGTCCCCCAAAATCAGGCATAGGATGAAACCCGCACTCAGGGCTGTAGGAGTATGGGGATTTGGGTGGGAGTCATGAAGGTCAACCACGGTGGTGAGTCTTGAAGGCTCCCACGCCATCCCACCCTGGCCCGAGCCTAGGGTGACAGGAATGGTTGGGGTCCAGAGAGGTTGAGAGTACCAGGGGCAGAAAGGACTTGGGCCTCCACCCAACAGAGCTGCTCCTGCAGGGGGAAGGGAGAGAGATGGATCCAGGGCAGGTCTAAGAAAAGCCGTCCTGGCCTTCCCTGGCCCTGGGCATGATGTAAACCATCCTCCCTGACACCCAGGCATCTTTAGTGGGATGTTCCTGTCTCAAGAACGCAGCGTGGGGCAGGACTTCTCTTCAGGGCATGGTCAGCAGGCCCTTCCTGCCTCAAGGCTGAACCACGGCACCCAACTACGCCCACGTCCTAATCCCTGGCACCTGTGAATTTCACCCTAACTGGCAAAGGCACCATGCATGAGGGCTCCTGACAGCAGGAGTCCATCCTGATCCTGCAGGCAGGTCCTGCTGAGAGGGGCAGGAGGAGCAGGGAGAAGGCCACGTGAGGATAGAGAGAGAGACCTGAGCAATGGAGGAAGGGGCCATGAGCCACAGCAGATGGGCACCACCTGGAAACTACAAAAGACAAGGAAAGAGATTCTCCTCGGGAGCCTCCAGCAGAAGCCAGCCTCGCCAACACCTCTATGTTAGCCCAGCGAGGCTGAGTTCAGACTCTGTCCTGCAGAACCGCAAGAGGATAAAATGTGCATTGCTCTGAGCCTCAGTGTGGCCATCTGTCATGGCAGCCACAGAGGCTCCCATGTGGCCGCATCTCTGCACTGCGGATGCTGCAGGGGGGGTTGGCACAGACCTGGGCTCGAACCCTGGCTCCAGCACACACTGGCTGTGGACAACAGCTCGGGTCACCTTTCTGCACCTCAGTTTACTGATAGTGAGGTGGAGAGAATGAACACTGGGTGCCCTAGACTATGGAGTGTTGGATAAGTGAACAGAGACCACGATCTCCTGGGCTGCTGAGGGAAGGCAATGAGATCCCATTAGTGAGGGGGCCCAGGGAAGTGGGAGTAGAACGGCCACAGAGGCTTAGGGTAGAGCTGTTGCTAGTGTCCCCAAGCATTCTTTCACCCTTCATCTGCAGGAACAGAATTGTCAACAGGGAGTGGACCCCTGGGGGTAAAGACTACATTTCCCAGTGGCCTTTGTAGTCAGGTGGCACATGACCACATTTTGGCCAATAGGATATAAGGAGGCAGCTGCAGTGTACCCCTGCCCTTCTGCCCCCTCCTATCTGGGATGTTCCTGAAGCTCCATGCTCACAGTGAGGTGTGGGCCACACCCTGGAAAGGGCAGAACTACAGGCTGGAAGGAGCCTGGGTCCCTGATGACCTGAGGCCACAGAGCCATCATGGGAGCCATGGACTACCCACCCCTGGACTTTTGCATATTGGAGAAATAAATGTCTCTGGCTGAAGCTACTGTTGATTTGGTTCCCTATTCAGAGGGACTGAGGAACTAGAGTATCAACAGGTGCGCCTGCTGCTCTCACATCGTCCTGTGGGACCCTGCATCAGCGTCCAAGTTTCCTGACAGTCACCACCTGGTCTCCAGTGGCAAGGGAAGGGGCAGAGGGTGAGGAGGCCCATAAGCACCCCCAGCCTCAGCCCCAGAGAATCCCTCCACCCTCAAGCACAGCTCCTGAGGCAGCACCACACACTGCAGGTCTGCCAAAGTGCCCACTGCCTGAACACCCTCGATGGTGGTGACCAACGTCACTGACAGTGGTAAGCATCTGGAGAAAGTGAGACAGTAACAGGAGGGTACCAGCCCACTGTACCGATGAAGAGACCAGGATTCAGAGAGGCTCCCTTCATCTCTGCCCACCGGCAGCCCACAAGGTCACAGCTGTCACCTTATGATGCCTGTGGCTCCAGTTGTGGGTTTGTGATCAATCCAAGGGCAGGGTCAAGGGAAGGTAGAGAGTCCCCCCCCCACCCCCACTTCCTAAACAGGGGCAAGACAGAGGAACTAAGGGGAGAAGGGCTAATGTTCTTACATGATCCTACCATTCAGTTTCCAACATTTCTATAATAAGCATACATTATTTTTACAATGGGGAGTGTTCCCTCCCACCAATCCTCACCCACAGTGCTTTTCACAGTTCTGACTTTTTTCCCATCTATGACTGATTCGACCAACACACAAGGGGATTCAAATCACAGTGGACTTGTAAGGAACAATTTAATCGGCTTTTGATTCCAATTATCTCTCACATCCATGGGCTTTTAAGATCTCCTCGAGCTCCATGGGGTTTGCCTCCTCTTTCCTCCCCTGTCTTTCGGGCCAGCCAAGGCCCCCCTCACGCCCACCTCTGTGGCTGCCCTGGCTGCCTCAGGGAAGAAGTGATCATGCCAACAGCAGGCACCTGAATCACACCCGGATTCCACAGCGACCAGACAGCTCTCTCTCTCCTTCAAATAGTCTCCGGGAAATGACTGTTAATTAACTTTGCATTTGCTTATTCCCTGTGCAACTCATTATCCCAATTAAACCACCTCTAGTGAAGTCTGGCGCTTTAAGTTATTTCAAATTATTTCAACTCAAACGTCTGAGGCCCCTTATGCTGCTATTTTTCTTACCCAGAACATCATTTTCAGTTTGGAGCCGGCATGCGAGGGGAAGCAGCAGTGGATCAGCTGCCAAGTTGTCAGTTAACCCCTTTTCAGGCAAGTCTCTTCACCTGGGAAACTCGGTTTCTTCTATGTGGTGGGTCCAGGGATGTTGACTGCAGCAGCTAAACACACGGAAGCAGGCATGAGGATGAGAATGGGAACCAAAGTTTATGATGAATCCATTCTGGGTACCAAAACCCAAAAACAAGACCAAATGGGGAGACAAAAAGAAATGCCTGCCCCACAGGGTTGCTATATGGCTTAAGTGAATTAAACTGGGCTCTCCACTCCGGGTCTCACAAGGTCTAAACCAAGGTGGTGGCTGGGATGAGCTCTTCCCCGAAGGCTCTGGGGGAGAATCCTCCTCCAGGTGCATTCCGGTGGCCCCGAGTCCAGCTCCTGGTGGCTGCAGCTCTGGGGTCCTCGTTCCCTGGCTGGGGGCCATTCTGCTTCTATAAGTCACTCACACGCCTTCTCACACAAACACGTCCTCCTTCAAACCAGCAATGTTAATTCCAGCCTTTCTCACATATTGAATTTGACCTTCCTTTCTGCTGACAACTGGAGAAAGCTCCCTGCTTTCATTAGGCTCATGAGGCCACGCCCACCAGATAATCTCTGATCTCAAGGTCAAATGGCTTGGGACTTCCATTCCGTCAGTCCCTGCACAGCAGCACCTAGGCTAGTGTTTGAACGAACAGCCAGGGGTACAAGTCAGTGGGCCCACCTTTAGAATTCTGTCTGCCATGGCCCATCATACTCATATTTTTCTCAATTTGCTTCTTTCAAAGTTGAATAAAAGGATGAAAATTCATGTCCTTGCCAAGGGATCAGAGTAATGCAGCTCATGACAGCAATCACCCTGTGCTGAACACATGTGGGTTCTGGCTTCAGCCCTGATGCAGACTGTGGGCTCAGGAGAAACACACAAGAGTTCTGCCTTTCTTACACCCACATGACCTTGGAGAAGTCACCTAACCTGGCTGAGCCTGGTTCCCCACCTCACCACAGTTGGGCTGATCCCCAAGAGGACAACTTTGAAGCACCCAGCACACAGTCTGTTACCCGGGCAGTGCTCAGCTGCCGTAAGCACCACACCCACGGTCGACAGACTGTCAGACCATCTGCACGACCTTTTCTTTTTAAACACCGCGTGTTTGTTAGGGGCACCACGTGCTGTACAGTCAGCTCTTCCTGCGCTCCCAGACTCTGGCTAGGCCATCCATGCCCATTGCTGGACGTGTGCTCAGACGACTGATCCAAGAGTCTTCCACACAGGCAGCTTCAGCTCCACATGAAGAGAACTTGCACTGTGGTACAGTTTCAGACCTCAGGGAGCTACCTGAGCAGGTAGGTTCCCAATGGCGGACTGCCTGTGGAGCAGTTCCTGATGTGGCCACGAGGTGTCAGGCCTTTCTCTGGCAGATCAGAGAAATCCCATAGATTTGGATATGGACACAGGGCATGGCCTCGTGGCTGGTCGGGACTCAGCGGAGGTTCACAGTCCCCAAAGTGGCATCCCCCTGGGACGACCTGTGCTCATCTGTCTTGGGACACAGAAGCTACAACTCTTCATCAGGCTCTGAGCTGCAAGATGCCCATCTGATTCCTTCTGAGCCCCAAAGCCAATAAGAAAGGTGAGATACTGTTGTAAATTTTATTGCAGAAAGCCTGCGTCTGGTGGCTCACACTTGTAATACTAGCACTTTGAGAAGCTGAAGAGGGTGGACTGCTTGAACTCAGGAGTTTGAGACCAACCTGGGTAACATAGTGAAACCCCGTCTCTACTAAAAAGACAAAAATTAGCCAAGCGTGGTAGCACGCACCTGTAGTACCAGCTGCTAGGGAGGCTGACGCGTGAGAATCGCTTGAACCGGGACGCAGAGGTTGCAGTGCACTGAGACTGCACCACTGCACTCCAGCCTGGGCAATAGAGTGAGACTTTGTCTCAAAATAAAATAAAATAAATTTTATTGCAGAAAACGACAAGCATATGCAAAAGAAGAGAAAATCGTCATAACTCCTGGGGCATTCATCACCCAGCTTCCACGGTTATCAACATTTGCCACTTGTGTTTCACCTGTCCTTGATTTTTCTTTTTTTAACGGAGAATTTACAAAGCAAATACCAGCCATAGGGGCAATTTACTATAAATACTTCCATTTGCATCTCTAAAGGTTAGGACGTTTTACCCACAAGGCCCTTACTGCTCCCTACCAAAAGTGTTCGTAACTCCCAGTTTTCATCTTATACCCAGTTTACATCCCAATTTCCCCCACCTATTTCTTTCTTTCTTTCTTTTTGAGACGGAGTCAAACTCTGTTACCAGGCTGGAGTGCAATGGCACGATCTCGGCTCACGACAACCTCCACTTCCTGGGTTCAAGCGATTCTCCTGCCTCAGCCTCCTGAGTAGCTAGGACTACAGGCGCCCACCACCACGTCCAGCTAATTTTTGTATTTTTAGTAGACAGGGTTTCACCATGTTGGCCAAGATGGTCTTGATCCCTTGACCTCGTGATCCACCTGCCTCAGCCTCCCAAAGTGCTGGATTACAGGCGTGAGCCACTGCGCCCGGCCTCCCCTACCTCTCTCTCAAATGCCTCGTTTAAGCTGCCTTGTTCTATCATGAATCACGTAAGTTCCACACATTCAATTCAATGATATCTTTTAAACTTATTTATTCTCTAATGGTTCAGTTCCACTTTCTTTTTTTTTCTCCAGGCTCCAATTAATTATATTATCAGTCTAATCATACTATCTTAATTACTGGTATTAATTGACAGGGTCATTTGTCCTGTTCAACATCCCACACTTGGGGTTTAGCTGTGTGCGTCTTTCTGCAAGCGGCATATTATCTGGCAAACAGTAGGATTTAATCACCATGGGTTGAATGAATGGTTTCAATGGGACAAAAGCAAAAGAATAAAGGTTTGGTCCTTTACTCAAACGGTCCTACATTCACTAATGCAACAAGCAGGCAACACTCCACTCGAGAAGCCACCAGTTCGCGCCCTGGGTTCCTGAGGAGGGCATGAGCTACACCCCTGAGACCCTGGCCGTCAGAGCTGCACTGGAGGCCAACCTGTGCTGAAGCGGGACCCCGCCTGCGAGCCGGCACGGCACCAGGGCGGTAAGAACACGCGGCCCCGGCTCTTCAGCACCTCTGCTCTTCGGGGTACGCGCTACAGCAGCACGGACCTCGGTCAGGTTATGAAAACGCGTGCATTTATGAGCTTTAGTTGTGTCCCAATGTTTTCTATACGCTGTTTTTAGTCTGTTTTTCGTGTTTGGAGAAAACTGAAAGTAGCAGTAAGGTACAAAACAAACACACGTCCGTATTCCCAGCATCGTCAAACCCGCTAACATTTTGTCCCGTTTGCTTCGTGGGTTTTGTTTCCCGTTTCACCAGAACTCACTGGTTGAGACGGAGACCCCAGTGCCTTCTCCCCTCCGCCTCGGGCGCCCGGAGAAGCAGCGTCGGGTGGGCGCGCCTTCCCAAGGGCTGCCTCTGCCGTTATTTCTCAAGCACCTGCGCCGCCTTTTGGGTGGCACTAGCGCACTTGGCAAACACGAAGTGTCCTGCGCCGCTCTAGAGCCGGGGTGTGAGGGTGAACAGGGCTCCCCACGCCCGTTCCCAGAGCCAGAGCAAAGGCAGGCCAGGGGTGTCCGCACAGGTGTGGGAGCTGCCCGGGAAGCCAGAAGCCGGCACTGCGCTTCTACCCAAAACCGCGCTCCCAGGTCCCTCCCGGCCCGCCACCGGCACAGGCCTCCGGCCCGCCACGGGCACAGGCCTCCGACCCCGGCGCCGGCCCCGCCCCCTCACGCTGCCTCTTCACTGGCTTCTCCCGGCATCGCCCCGCCCACTGGAGGCTCCGCCCCATATTCACCTTTCACCTCTTCGGGGGCGCCGGGAAGCCTCAGGCCCCGCCCACAGGGAGGGAAGAAGACGGTCTTCTCCCGGCATCGCCCCGCCCACCGGAGGCTCCGCCCTATTCTTCACCTTTCACCTCTTCGGGGGCGCCGGGAAGCCTCAGGCCCCGCCCACAGGGAGGGATGAAGACGGTCTTCCGTGACCCACAATTATTGGTGACTCTTGCCTGTCCATAACAGAAAAAGCGGTTACGGATTGGCTGAGGCAAAGTAGTGGGGCGGAGAAGAGGCTACAGCTGCCTACGCGCATGCCTGATGCGTGCGCGGCGACGGCGGTAGGTAGTGGCAGTCATGGCGGCTCAGTGTGTGCGGCTGGTGCAGCGCAGTCTTCCGGCTTTGGCGTTGTCTCTCAGGTAAGGAGCACTCGGCTTTCCCGGGCTGAGGTGGGAGCGCGAACCCCTGCTCCGACTGGGGCCTTTCCCGGCCCCGGGAACTCCTTCCCAGCCTCGGCCCTGGAGCTGGGCGTCTGCGGGCTCGCAGTTCCCCGCTGCGGAATCCGGACCGCCCTGCCGGGGCCTGCTCTGCGGCCGGGCTGCCCGCTCGAGGCTTGGGAAAGGCCGAGCATGGCTGCTTGGACGGGTAGCGTGGAGCGGGCGGGCGCCTTGTTAGAAGGAGAGGACCGCAGCGCGGGGGCGTCCGGTGTGGAGGGGACGGTGGCCCACGTGCGCGTGAGGGCCAGGGCCTGCGGGCGACGCACTTGTGCGGTTGAAAAAGAGTGTCCAAGGTCAGTCACGTAGCAAGGTCGAGCCCAGCCGGGTGTGCCCTGGGTAGGAGCTGTGGTTACTCATATTTCCGTGCGGCGGCTGGAAGCCGGGGTCACAGCGGTGCCCGGGAAGTTCGTGTCGCAAGGCGCGTGTTGCCCGTTCACGGGCTTTTTCCACTCAGCCTCGAATTTCATCACTTCGCCTTCTCCAGCGTCTGAGGTCAAAAGATCAGTCCATCCTGTGCCACTGCTGGGCGAAGAGTTTGTTTAGACAAGCGCACGCTTCGGGCCTGAGGGCCATGAAAGCCAGTGCCCTCTTTTTTTTTTTTTAATCCTGCCGCTTCTGGTTTTTAAAAGTTCTACCCCAGAAATTAGTATGGCAAGTACTTAGTGTGTTGTTTACTGGAGGAACTGCCTAGAACCAAGTTATTGATAAGAGAAGCCACTGAGGGCCAAATTGAGTTAAAAGCTGGGCAGTGAAATGTGCTTTTCCATGAAGAAGAGCAGGCAGGTGAGGTGAAGATCACTTTCAGTGGAGGTGATTAAGGGGGGAGTGCTAGCTGAATAAACTATGTCTTAAAATCTTGGGAGCCAAGAGCAGCAACCCACGTGGAATACTTGAATAAAAAGACTTTGGTCAAGTAGTTAGTGGTTTTGTATTGGAATTAATTGCCAGGAAAGTGACCAGCAGGTCAGCATCGTTTCTGTCTCTGGAATGGTAGTTTTGTGGAAAGATGCTCAACTAGGGAGAGTCAGGAGAGCTGACTGATGGTCATAGCTCTCAGGGAAACTAGGCTCTCTGAGACTCAGTTTCCCTCTGCAGAGCGAGACGGCACTGAGTCTGGGTCCTGTTGCATTCCTGTCCACACCTTGCGTTGGCTGTGCTTCCAGAAGGGGTCTGTGCAGATCTGACCTGCAGAAAGGTGGTGGCTGTCACACCCCCAGACAGAACAGCTGGAGAGGGAGGTGGGCCTCCCTCACAGTGCACTCAGTTTTTATTTAGATCTTAGCTTTTTAAATCACAAGAGTAAAAATAAAAAGGTCATCACTTTCCACCCCCATGGCAAGATTGTAATGGATCCCCCCCACTCCACTTCTTTCGACAGATCTAAAACATGAATAGGTACACAGGATTTCTAGTTTGTCTTTACAAAAATGGAATCCTGTTTTGTGTATTTCTCTTTAAGTTGCATTTCTTAACAAACACCCAAAGTGTGTCCATGAAATACCAATGTAACTCTTTTTTTCTTTGAGATGAAGTGTTGCTCTGTTGCCCAGGCTGGAGTGCAGTGGCGAGAGCTCAGCTCACTGCATCCTCCGCCTCCTGGATTCAAGGGATACTCCTGCCTCAGCCTGCCGGTAGCTGGGATTACAGGTGCCGACCACCATGCCCAACTAATTTTTGTATTAGCAGAGACAGGGTTTCACTATGTTGGCCAGGCTGGTCTTGATCTCCTGACCTCATGATCCACCCTCCTCAGCCTGCCAAAGTGCTGGAATTACAAGTGTGAGCCACCGCCCAGCCTTAACTCATTTTTAGTAGCTGCATAATATTCCAGATTGTGTTAGCAAGTTTATTCAACCATTTCTTCACTGACAAACATTGTTTCCAACTTGTCACTCCACAGTGCTGCAGTAAACCACCTTGCCTGTGAATTCTATGTGCTGACAGGTCTTCCTGTTTTAATCTGGGAAGAAAATCGATCATAGTTTATTCTCAGATTGGACTGTGGCATAATTTAAAAAGAGTTCCTCAGGCTGGTTGTAGTGGCTCACGCCTGTAGTCACAGTACTTTGGGAGGCCGAGGTGGGTAGATCATGGAGTCAGGAATTTGAGACTACCCTGGCCAGCATGGTGAAACCCCTTCTCTACTAAAAATACAAAAAATTAGCCGGGCATGGTAGCACATGCCTGTAGTCCCAGCTACTCAGGAGGCTGAGGCAGGAGAATTGCTTGAACCCGGCAGGCGGAGGTCGCAGTGAGCGGAGATCGTGCCACTGCACTCCAGCCTAAGTGACAGTGAGACTGCATGTCAAAAAAAAAAAAAAAAGAGTTCCCCTGGTCCTGGTGAAGAAATGTAGGTTTTAAGACTTTATCATTCATTAATGGCTTTGTGACCTGGGCTTATCCCTTAACCTTTTCCTGGTGGGCGTAGAATTGGATAATGCCTTAAGTCACTTGCAATATTGGTTTTAGAGTTCTTGGTCTCTTTCACCTGTACATACCCCATGCTTTCCTGTCCGTGCCTTTGACCAAGCAGTTTCCTCTTCCTGAAGCTGCATCTATCCTGACCCAGTCCCACCTCTGATCCCTTTTGTGTAACTCTTAACTATCCTTCAAAGTCTTTCATGGTCTTCCCTTCCCCAAGCTAGGTATGTCCTCCTACTCTGAGCCTCCCAAAGCACTTAGTTCCTTTTTTTTTTTAAATCACTTTTTTTTTTTTTTTTTTTTTTTTTTTTTTTTTTTTTTTTTTTTTTTTTTCTTTTTTTTTTTTTTGCCACAGAGTTTTGCTCTTGTTGCCCAGGCTGGAGTGCAATGGCACGATCTCGGCTCACCGCAACCTCTGCTTCCCGGGTTCAAGCGATTATCCTGCCTCAGCCTCCCAAGCAGCTGGGTTTACAGGCATATGCCACCACGCCTGGCTAATTTTGTATTTTTAGTAGAGATAGGGTTTCTCCATGTTGGTCAGGCAGGTCTTGAACTCCTGACCTCAGGTAATTCACCAGCCTCAGCCTCCCAAAGTGCCGGGATTATAGGTGTGAGCCACTGCACCCAGCCTTAATCATTTTTAAATCCCAAATTACATTTCTTTGTGTTTAGATGTCTTTTTTTGCATGGTGGCAAGTACCCTGTGGGCAAGATCTGCTGGGTCTATCTTTGTCATCAGGATCAGCAATGGGCCTCACCTATAGTAGTAGCTATTACATAAATATGTGGTGAGGTCTGGGCTGGCTGTCTCAGAAGTCACCTTAGAACGGAAAGAGGAGGTTAGTCTGTTCTGTACAAAATACTATAACTTGGCACATTGGCGTGTGAGCTTAGGCATGTGCTACAGAAAATCTTATATAAATAAAAAAAGACCAGGCACAGTGGCTCATGCCTGTAATGCCAGCACTCTGGGAGGCTGAGGTGGGAAGATCACTTCAGCCCAGGAGTTCAGGGTTACAGTGAGTTATGATAGTACCACTGTACTCTAGCTTGGGTGGCAGTGAGACCCTGTCTCTAAAAATTCATAGAGAGAGACCAAGCGAGGTGGCTCATGCCTGTAATCCTAGCATTTTGGGAAGCCAAGGCGGGTGGATCACTTGAGGTCAGTAGTTCAAGACCAGCTTGGCCAACATAGTGAAAACCCCTGTCTACTAAAAATTCAAAAACTAGCCGGGTGTGGTGATGAGCACCTGTAGTCCCAGATACTCAGGAGGCTGAAGTGGGAGGCTCTCTTGAACCCAGGAGACAGATGTTGCACTGTACTCCAGTCTGGGTGACAGAGCAAGATTCTGTCTCAAAAAAAAATATATATATATATATATATGTGTGTGTGTGTGTGTGTGTGTATATATATATATTTGTCTGTGATCTGATAAAGGCACATTATATTATATTTACTATTTATTTATGGGCATAGCTTTTATGTGTCATGTACAGCGTGCCTTTATTGATCTAAGAGAAGTGTTTTTTCCCCAAGTAATATTAAATAGTTTGAAGTTATTTTAAGTTGCTGGGCACGGTGGGTCACACCTATAATCCCAGCACTTTGGGAGGCCGAGGCGGGTGGATCACATGGTCAGGAGTTCAAGACCAGCTTGGCCAACATGGGGAAACCCCAACTCTACTGAAGATATAAAAAGTTAGCTGGGTGTGGTGGCACAGGTCTGTAATCCCAGCTACTTTGGAGGCTGAGGCAGGAGAATTGCTTGAACCCAGGAGGCGGAGATTGCAAGTTATTTTAAGTTTCTAAAATCATACATCTGACTTTAATAAGCACAGAAACAAAGTCTTCATTTCTTCCATGTGGACGTCTCTGTAGGCCCTCTCCACGGTTACTGTGCACAGCTACGAAACAGAAGAACAGTGGCCAGAACCTGGAAGAGGACGTGGGTCAGAGTGAACAGAAGGCAGATCCTCCTGCTACAGAGAAGACCCTCCTGGAACAGAAGGTCAAGTTGGAGGAGCAGCTGAAGGAGACTGTGGTGAGGACTGTCAGGCTCCTGTGGGCACGGGCTCGGCTGAACTGTTTCTCCCGTGGGCAACATAAAGGTTCCAGGTTTCACTGGTGACAAACCAAAGCCAGAGTTCAGCTGTTGTCCATAGCCTGCAGTGGGCTCAGGTGGCCAGTTACTGCCAAAGCAAGGACTAGAACCCAAATCCTGTGCAGCTCTGGTTCCAGCAAGAGAATAATCGTTACACGCTGTATTTGTCGTTGAATTAAAACTTAAAATCGTCTTTACAAATGAGGACTACTCAATAAGGTTGTTTAGGCTGGAACTTAGCAGAAGCAGCAGAAAATTCTAAGTACAAGAGTTGGGGGCAGGA